ATTGTCGAATAAGTTCCAAGAAATCCAAAATGCTGTATCTAACTCTTGTAAAAACTTTTATAGGTTAGGTGTCGTCGAAGTACCGGAAAAGTTTTAGCCTAACATGCTTGTGGGTTTTCATGAAACGGTATTCCATGATGGACAATGTTATGTCTGCGATGTCGGGACTTGCATTCCCACCCACTGGAACACCGCAAGTCTGGTTGAAGACGATGCCACTGAAACTTATGTAAGATTGATTGAGTATGGTTTGGAGTAATGGCTTAACTTCCCTCGAGCAAAGGAGTCAAGAGATGGGACATTTGCGCATCACAGGGAAACAGGATGATCGACACTTACATCCGAACCAAATTAATGCAGATGACAGGGTCGCGATGGTAATCGACGATGGGTTCCTGGGAGACTTTGACGATAGCTGACGTCGTTAGACGCTAAAGAAAACTAAGGTTCAGAAGAAAGGAACAGATGGTTTGTCTAGATACTTAAGGCCCACCCCGTAAGATGATGTAACGATTTTGGAGAAATTCTGGAATGATGATAGGGGATGACAAGGCATGTAAATTTACATCCCGGAGGTTGAACCAACCGTGGACTTCTGCTCCAACCCGAATACTCTCACTATTTCTTCCATTAACATGCTTTTAAACTCATTTTCTCGATCGGAAATCAGGAATTTTGGACAGCGTCCTTCGTGCGCTACCAAATGCTCCACAAAAATTCGAGCCACAGTCTCTGCTGTTTTGTCTGACACGGCTGAACAGCACTTGCTGAACGTATCTATTATTTTTACAACATAGCAATTTCCTCGCATCGTAGGTCCCAACTTCATTATATCAATATCACTAATTTTGTATTACAGCAATAATAGGCTTAAGAGTTGGTATCCGTGTGCGCTGTGGGTTATGCGCAGCACAAATGATTGACTGCTGACGAATATTCCATAACGCGTGCGACCGCGCTACTGTGAGGCGCTTGTGCTCGAAATAGTGCTCGAAATAGAAAGCTCATCCAGTAAAATACATTTCAATTAAAATTTCCTCTAAAATATCTCTTCAAAAATGATCGCCGTTACCAACAAACCTGAACAACAAATGCTATTCACAGCGAGCAATTCCACCAGCCTACCAAACAGCCACACTTCATTCATGTTCCCATCCATACTGGCCGACGAAGGACAAACAACCTCCTGCAAACCAAAGTGCAATCCTGCCCCTCACCACTGGGCGGCTAATACAATACAAGCATCGATTTTACCACAACAGTGGCACATAGCAATTGTTCTTCCACTTCTATCACATTCGCAACAACGCCCACCGTTGTGAAGGAACTCCAGGCTGCTCTGCTCTGCGTCTAAAGGTAGCGATGCCCTCGTTGTTACAAGGATGATGATACTGGCTTCTCGTTCTTGGAAGGAATCCACTATATGTACCGCATAATCCTCGGAAGGTAAGAGGTTCTTTTGTAGTACTCGTTTCGTTCCGAGGTAGACGCATAAAAAAGTAGACACTTCGCTCGGAAACACTCTATGCAAATTATGCACCATCTTTTCCAATGTCTATTTCTGTACCGGGTTTACTCTCGTTTGCATGATGTCATGCGAACCAGGGCCTACTTCGGCAATTATCAATTCACTTGTGTAACGTTCGGGAGACGGAGCAGCTGGAGCTGGGATGCCTGCCTGGCTGCGGGGAAGCGCTCCGGCAGCTGGGCAACACCAAGCAATAAGACACACTTCTTTATTAGTACAATCACACAAAAAAAAATATTTGAAAAAGAACGCAACAAACCCAGGATCAGCCCGGCAGCAGCTTCAAGCTGCTATTGGGCACACGCGTTAGTTTCAAGCGGTAGCAGCTCCAAGCTGCCGCAGTGCACTTCCCGCTTACGCGAAACACATCAAATATTACGGAGGGGAGAACTCGAGTCAGGAGACGGAACATTTGCATATTGCAGGAGACCGAAGGGCAACTGGACAAGGCGAAGGGGGTTGAGCTTCAAACTTCGCTTCCTTGTTACTCGCTCCTCCTTCCTTTTGCAACACGTCACTGCTCGTTTGAGCTCGGTCCCGAGCATATTACAGCGAACCGAAGGGCAACTGGACAAGGCGAAGGGAGTTAAGCCTCAAACTTCGCTTCCTTGTTACTCGCTCCCTCCTTTTGCAACACTTGGCACCAGAAGCTTTATCTCTATGGTCTACAGTTACCGCGACCGTTAGTCGGCCTTCATACGAGGCTGCTGATAAACATCTGGTTCGAGTGGGGTAAACCCTGAATGACTGAGACTGCACTGGAAACTGGCGTCGAATTATGACTGATTCAACAATGTTCCCATGTCTGTATGCGAAGAACACTTCCTAGAATTGGATTTATAAGCAGGTAGCTGAAGAGCGCCTCTCGTCAAGAACAGCTGCTTAAGGCTTGGAAAGCCAGGGCTATTATCTAAGCTCCGGGCACCAGAGCCTCTTCGTCGCATATCAGGCATAAAATCTTTCCTCACAGCCAGTCCCCATTTCCGTTCTCTTCAACTATCTTTATATAGCCAGCACTTGGATATTGAGTGCACCGGTTCTGGCACCTCCATCGATTACTTAGATATGACCCTTTCGGTAGAGCGTGACGCCCGCTTAGTTTCTTCTCTTTACTGACGACCGATCTCTTCACCTTCCCTATTAATAAATATTCCTTGATTCACAGCAGCGTGCATCCATCGGTCCATACAGGGACGACTTATAGCCAACTCATTAGATACTTAAGTACTGAGTCCTCTTAGCAAGGATTTATTTCTTCGGCTCGTCGTCTCATTTTGTGTTACTTCGTTAAAAATTTTTCCTCCCACCACATCGACCGTTTGCTTCGCACTTTCATAAATAGAAATAAATATCAATTCTCTAAATAATGCCCACCTATTCAAGCTCATTGCCGTCGTACAGCACACTGGTTGGCTCCATAACCGGTTTTCCCTTTCCACTCGCCTTTAGCATTACGAGCTACGTTCCTGTGTCTCCTTTATCTTCTTTCCCGCTGTAATACCTTTTTCCAGCTATGACCAGTGTAAAAAAAAGTAAAAATTTCAAGATGGTCAGAATGCTTTGAAGATGTCTTTCTCTTCGTGACTCCACAAGTTCGGCCAAGAGCCCGGGGACTATTCATCATTACTTGCAGACTGCAAGTAATGAGCTGCAGTCGTCTTTCCGGTTTGTGGCATCAAAATTCTGTGGTGAACTTTTGAATAATATACAAACTTACCCAGAATAAATCCCTTACCATCGGATACAAACACACATCGTGGCTAAACGCCGAGATAAAAGCTGATCTCAGATAAGTCGAACAAGCCGTCATTCAGCAAGTCGTCAGTAACAAAGCATCGAGTAGCCGACGCTCACCAATCGTTCCCACAATCTGAATGCTCACAAGTATCTCCAGGAAACCCCGTGCAGATGCCCCGACAAGCCCATCAGCCGCGCTTCACCGCGATGCACCGCATTACCACCCACCGAGTAATACGAACATGATTAAAACAAACAAGTCCTTGACAATATGCGTTTCTCGCACTACAAAAATGTAAAAAACGTGCAACAATCCCAGCTTCCATACATAC